ATACAAATATTTCTGTTCAGCAGTTTTTAAAAAATCATTTTGTAAATATTTTTTCTTGCTTGCTCCCATAAAGTATTCATATACATACATAGTCATACACATTTTTATTTACATCAACACACACATTAAAATTACTATGTCAGAGCATCAAAAAGCCCCATGTTTTATTTATTAGAAAAAATATTATTCCTCTGGTACATAACTATTTGTGCAAAGTTCTGTCAGTCACAAGAGTTGTAAATTTTTAAAGATCCCATAATGTGCTAAGCTTTCTCTCAAATTTCCCCTACTTCTTGGAGTTCAATTGAGATTAGAAACAATTACATAAAAAGTAAGGAAAGCATATCAGAAATGAGTTATTCCATTTTATTCTGAAAAGACTGCTCCCCTGATAGAAACACGTGCTTGCAGGAAAAACAAAAGTCTAGTTTGAGAGCAAGACATGGTTTATTTTTTTACAAACCAGCCTGCATGCTCTGTTCATCAATACATGTCCCTACATGCAAAAGCCTTTTCCACATGGTGTATCACTCTGCTCTGGGGGCTCTTTGAAAGTGAGCCTTTCAAGTCCATGCCCCACAGAACCCTGAAGTATCTGGGAACTAACCCTTTGCTTTTGCCAGAGGTTTGAAAATGGAACACTTTGGGGCTATACAACGTTGCTGTGCAATTCATTACGAGACAAAGAAATGTCTGGGGTTAGGTGGGCAAGCAACTAATGATCCTTCACTTTGTCCAGAAAACATCAAGATCGATATGTAGGACATGCAACATTTATGTAATGCTGTATTTTCTTTTCCCTCTAGGGAAGGGAGAAAACACTGAATGATCTCTTTCTGCTGATGGCTACAACACTCAAATGATTGACACCATTTAACACATGCTTTCGGTCTCTCCTTCCCATCTGCTAGCAGCAACACAGGTGACTGATCTTTCTAAACTTCCTGTATACTAGTACTCAACAGTTTTCTTTCTGGCATGTATATTTAGCTTCATTGATCCAGGTAGCCAAAATCTAGGGGTAACATTACAATCTAAAATGAACAGAGGTAGTTCTGGGATGTGCTAAAAGGTATTAATGATCCATGATGTATTCATTTAAAAAAGATCTTTTATAAATAAATAGGAGGAGCCCAGAGAAATAAAGCGTGTTCCAAAAAGATAGCTATAAAGTTCTCTTTCAACTCACATATCTGTCAGGAATTAGAATCCAATACTAACATGAATTATATTTAATTAGCAAATTATTCCAACAGTGGCTCAAATCAAAACTGGGCAGCAACATAAATGTGGTCAGTGTCACATGTCCTTGCAAATTTCCTTAACTATGTCCTTTTTAGAACTTGAAATTCAGAGCAATGTCAACATTTTAAGTTGAAATAGATTTTTTCCCTTATTCTTTTATAGAAATGACATAGTAGGAAACTTAGAAACTAGATGATCATCTCAGGAAAATAATTAGCTTTGCATCTCTTTTAAGAATAATTGCCATTTTGTTGGCTAGGCTCATGCCTGTAATCCCAGCAATTTGGGAGGCTGAGGCGGGTGGATCACCTGAGGTGGGAATTTTGAGACCAGCATGACCAACATGGAGAAACCCTGTCTCTACCAAAAATACAAAATTAGCTGGGCATGGTGGTCTATGCCTATAATCCCAGCTACTCAGGAGGCTGAGGCAGGAGAATTGCTTGAACCTGGGAGGCAGAGGCTGTGGTGAGCTGAGATCATGCCATTGCACTCCAGCCTGGGAAACAAGAGTGAAACTCCATCTCAAAAAAAAAAACTCACCAAGAGGAGTCATTGTCATTGTCAACAGTGACAGAAATCGAATGGCACTATATTCGCCCAATAACACATGCACATTTTCCCCACACTGTCCTTAAATAGAGAGCTAGGCAGTGTGAATATGGCACCAATCACTCTGTACTTGCTTAGAGTAGTATTAAATATAGGAGATACAGTTAGGCTGTGTCCCCACCCAAATCTCAATTTTAATTCCCAAGTATTGTGGGAGGGACCTGGTGGGAGGTAATCGAGTCATGTGGGCGGGTCTTTCCCATGCTGTTCTCATGATTGTGAATAAGTCTCATGAGATCTGATGATTTTAAATTGGGAAGTTTGCCTGCACAAGCTCTATTCTCTTGTCTGCCATCATGTGAGACATGACTTTCACCTTCTAACATGATTGTGAGACCTCCCCAGCCACGTGGAACTGTAAGTCCAATAAACCTCTTTTCTAAATTGCCCAGTGTTGGATATGTCTTTATCAGCAGCATAAAAACAGACTAATACAATAGGGCTCTAATATAAGAAGATGATTGATATAATATTCAATCTTTCAACAGCTTTCTGAAGGCCTGAGGATCTTAGGTCATCATTATTGGATCACCGTAAGTCCGTCATCTACATGACCTTAAAGCGATATACTTAAACCTGCAGTTCGATAAAACCACAAAATTTGGAATTCAAATATGTCAAATCTTGATAAGGCAGAACACTGAGGTTTTTCAGATTTAAAAAATTGTATTTTAGTTTTCAGTGGGTCACATTAATTACACTTCAGTTTATTCAAAAGCAAAGACATACTCTCTAAAGTAATGAAAACGATTAGAAAATTGACCACTTAAAAATATGTATGAATATCTGATGCCATAGCTTTAGTGATATCCGACTCTCTGTCTTAAAGATGGGCTTGAATATTGGTTAAGACATACATTTCTGAAAGTAAGATTTCAGCTATTTCCAGGTAATAAGTAATGAGGACCAATAAAGGCAGACAGTATATACCCAGATTGTATTATACCTGCCATGACTGAGTAATTATACTCAACAAGGGCAAATTACCACTTTACCTTTCAAAATACCCATATCTTATATTATAGCCTCTTTTCTTCCACACCTAATTTAAGTATCAAAGATTAAATGTCTTTACTTAGCATCTGAAGCCTTTATTCAACTCTTACTTTCAAAGCAATTTATAAATAAGCAGATTCAAGCACTGATGATGATCGATATTGTATATTTAGTTCTATTATGATGAGTTGAAATCTCAGAAGCATACAGTTATCTCTCCTTAGAGTTTTATAACTGAACATAATTATTTTGTCTTTCTTGTTCCCAGGAGATAAAAGTGAGTGAGAAAACTCATAACCAAGTTCCTGCTATTCACGATGTTTCCATTGGGTGTAGCTATGATATTAGATAGGTTAATATCGCAGCCTGCATATTCTGGAAGGATGCCCAGACATTAGGGGATTTGTAGTGACTTTCTTTGTCTTCAGCATTAAATTGTATTAGTCAGCAATATGTTCTATGGGGAAAACCAAATAAAATACTTTCAAATCAATCAGAGAAAGAAGGATTTCAATATGTCTTTTTTGCAAAAATGAACACATAAAAAAATTGAGACTTGGGCTAACACCTGAATCATCCATAATTTCTACACAGTGTGCTCATTTATATTTTTATATAATTATATAATTTACACGTCGTTTGAACACCTTCTATATCGTTAGGTATCTGTTAGATAAAACAGGACAAAAAAGAGGAAAGTCTACAAACAATGCAACTCCTTTACTCAATGACAGGTCTGAGTAAAGTGTCTTAAAATGTCTGTTTATACAAAAAAAAAAAGTATTTCTGCTAAAATGCAAGGGCAGCTAACATGCTGAGATGAAAACTGCTAACTCTTTTCTCAACAACACCATATGTCTCAATTGGATCATAATGCAGTCAGTTCCCAAGGGAGCGTTCCACATGGAAGCTAACCAAATCAAGGCACAGTCTTCACTGTATGTTGACTCACTGATTAGCCAGCAATCAGCTACTTTGGATTTTCAGATTATGCGAGTGTCTGTCTGAAGGGTCTTTCTGCATTCTTGACATCCTCCTTACACAAAGCAAGTCATTACAAAACCCTCCACAAAAATATTTCTCATTTTGTATACACTTCCTCTTATATAGAAACTCAATATATTTTAAGAAACGAAAATGCTCAACCTCTGAACTCTCTGATAGGTTTTAAATAGATTTAAAATACAGCAAACCAGTATTGAAATCCAGCACATACATAGTGTAAGATGAAAGAAGTCACATTAGTCTCCCCTAAGAATAACTATATATAGAAGACCAACAAATAAACCAACATTTATTATTCAGATGCTTCTACATTTATATAATTTTTCTTAGTTTAATACTTTGTTCAAGCTTTAATTTCTTATACAGGAATTATATTTAAAACTTTACTTACTTAATATTAAAACCTTCCACATACACTACTTCCTCAATTTCTGGCATTTGTACCTCTGATACACATAATAAATCCAATTATTTCATGTTTAATGTAATTCTTAATAGTATAAAGTTAGAACACTTTATGATGTGTATAAACCTTGGAAATTTTGCCTTGGGAAGTGTGAAATGCCCTGGGATAGTCCAGATGGGGCTTCTCATGCTACCTCTGATAAACAGACAGTATTTTCTAAAACTTCCAATTTGTCAGTAACTGATACTTTTGTAAAAGAAAATTATGAACTCAGATTTAATGGCATTGTCAAATTGCTATACAAGTTTCTAATTGCTTTCTCTCAATTTCTGTATTTTTCTTGTCATGGACTAGTAAGAAATGTTTCAGAACTGGCATAAATTTGTGGGATTTATTGTAAATATCATTGTTTAGATATTTTATAACTTAGAAATTGGAATTTTAATATTAATGCTGAGTCACAAACTTCCATCACTTCCAGTGTATCATTCTTTAACTATTTTCTTCTAATCCACTTTAGAAAATTAGCAGCAGAAACTCAAAGAAAAGCCAAGTAAGAATTACCAAAAAGCTTTTGAGATAGATGAGTTGCTACATAGTATTACTTTAAAATATACATTAATAAACACAAACCCCCATCTTGCAGTGATCAACAAGGGCTTTATCATGTACTTATTCCAATAAGAGCAATTTAAGCCTCCACATCATTTAGTGACTGATTAGCGACATTTCTTACCTGGGATGCCTGGTGGTGTTTTCAGATATTTTCCATTAAAATGTTGAATTACCACTTCACATTTTTCAGTAGACTCCATTCTGGGAAAAAAAGTAAACCAGAGATCACATATGGTTGTCAAGAAAAAGACACTTAAGAAGTAAAGGAAAACTAGATCATGAAAATACGTGATTTGAGAAATGTATCTCTATTGCCGACTTCTATCATGGCCACAATGAGAAGACTGATAAGACAGCATCACTAATTCATCATCGCCGAGAAACTATTATTCACTCTATTGAAAGCTGCCTATGCAGAGGGCTCTGTTCCGAGCCCACAGTCAGCAGTAACCCTGAGGCATTATCTTTTTTAAAATATTATTATTATATTTTAAGTTCCGGGATAAATGTGCGGAACATGCAGGTTTGTTACATAGGTATAAACGTGCCATGGTGGTTTGCTGTACCCATCAACCCATCATCTAAATTAGGTATTTCTCCTAATGCTATCCTTCCCTTAGTCCCCCATTCCCCAACAGGCCCTGGTGTGTGATGTTCCCCTCTGTATCCATGTGTTCTCATTGATCAGCTCCTACTTATGAGTGAGAACTTGCAGTGTTCGGTTTTCTGTTCCTGTGTTAATGTGCTGCGAATGATGGCTTCCAGCTTCACCCATGTCCTTGCAAAGAACATGAACTCATTCCTTTTTTATGGCTGCATAGTATTCCATGGGGTATATGTGCCATATTTTCTTTATCCAGTCTATTATTAATGGGCATTTGGGTTGGTTCCATGTCTTTCCTTTTGTGAATAATGCTGCAATAAACATACATGTGCATATGCCTTTATAGAATGGTTTATAATCCTTTGGGTATATACCCGTAATGAGATTGCTGAGTCAAATTGTATTTCTTGTTCTAGATCCTTGAGGAACCACCACATTGTCTTCCGCAATGGTTGAACTAATGTACACTCCCAGCAACAATGTAAAAGCTTTCCTATTTCTCCACGTCCTCGCCAGCATCTATTGTTTCCTGAGTTTTTGAATGATTGCCTTTCTAACTGGCATGAGATGACATCTCATTGTGGTTTTTATTTGCATTTCTCTAATGACCAGCGATGATAAGTTTTTTCTCATGTTCGTTGGCCACATAAATGTCTTCTTTTGAGAAGAGTCTGTTCATATCCTTTGCCCACTTTTTGATGGAGTTTTTTGTTTTTTTCTTGTAAATGTATTTTAAGTTCTTTGTAGATTCTGGATATTAGCCCTTTGTCAGGTGGATAGATTGCAAAAATTTTCTCTCATTCTGTAGGGTGCCTTTTCACTCTCATGGTAGTTTCTTGTGCTGTGCAGAAGCTCTTTAGTTTAATTAGATCCCATTTGTCATTATCTTAATTCACTCAGCAATGTTTGGCAACTGAAAGTGTTCAACAAATGTCTGTTGAATGAGGAATTAGCCAACCTGATGGATAGGTTTTGTTATTGTCTTTCATATCAATAAGGGCATTAGGGCTTAGACAGACAGACTACCTTTCCAATAAGGGGTAAAGTCAGGATTTCAACTGACACCTGTGCAACAGTAAAGTCTGTGCTATAGCGATTAAGCTATACTGCTGATGGATTCCACAAAATAAGTTGACAAGATGTATTTTATTTGAACAGCTTGCAGCCTAAAGGACTGATTGGTATAGTAATGTAGTCATCAGCATTATGACATTTTTATTGAAAATCCACTGGATGTAAGATACCCCAAGAGAGTTAGGTGGGGTCCTACATATTGAAGGAAGTTACAGATACACAAACCTTAGGTCCTACTTTCTCAATCTTGAATATTGAACGAAATCCTATTTTTTCATACTATCTTATCAGTATTTCTAAACTAATGTTATTGTGTCAAATTTTGGCATCTTACATACAATCTAAAGAATGAACATTTTGAGCCACACCAACATAATTTAAATTTTGGCAATGTTACCATATCTTAAGTACAGTGATATCTGTAGCATTTTCCAAATCATGAACAATATCTGGCCGTTATTGTTTTATAAAATTGGATGGGGAAGATGATAATTAAGGATTAATTCTGATGAAAAGAAATTTAAATCCTCCTAAGAGTATACTAGAGGCAAAAACAAATTTAATAAACAGAACACATACACATGAAATAATGTGTATGAAATGTGTAAAATTTGTCCAAAAGGCAAAGTATAATTTCGGATTTTCTGCTATGTTATTAATACGAGCTTTCTTGGAATGGCACCCATTAGTGCAAGTTGTAAAACTTTCCTACATCTAAATTTCATATGTATTTCAAGACTATAATGCATGGCTGTATTATGGGACCATATTACATGGCAGAGGAAACAAGATATGAAAAAATATGTTAACAAATGTCCAATAAGCTATACATATTTATTACAGCTGTAAGAATTCAAATGTGAGCAGAATCCCAGCAGCCAGGGAAATACTGAGAAGAGGCACAGAATCTAGGAAAGGCTTTTGGAGAAGTAATTAGGGCAGGGGGCTGAGCTGGGCAGCTTGGAGGGCATGGCTCTTTATTACAATGTGGTAGAGAGAGCACACAGTATGTGGCTCAGTGGAAGGATTCCCCAGGAAATTCCTAAATATTAACTGGGAGATAAAGTCAGGGCATTGGTATCACTTGTTTAACAAGTTTGAAGATGATATCGGGAATGAGTTCCATTTTGGATATATAATTAAGTTCTGACAAAGTTTTGTTTGTTTTGAGATGTACATTCCTATGAAGCATGGGATGAATGTGCATCTTTCCGTATGGATGCATATGACAAATCTCTACTGCCAAGCAGTGCTGAATTCACAGGAATGAGGCCTGCCTCTTCACACAGAGCCCCACACTTAGAACAAACCTGCACTTAGTTTAAAATTCTGCTGTTGCCACCTGGAACTTCTTAATAATTCTTTTAACAAAGGGATCTACACTGTCATCTTTCACCCTAATTTATGTAGCTGATCCTGCTATGGTAAGAAAGTACAGGAAACTAACTTAACGTTAGTAGGTCAGTATGTATATCATCAGGTGACCCAATGGATCCACGTAAGTATTATTTTGAAAAAGAAATCTTTAGAGTGAATCAATTTGATGTCCAAATAAAAAGAAAACTGTTTATGCAATTTTAATAGATAAAAATAAAAATAGCATTTTGTTTACTACTCACTGACAAGTTCTCCTTTTTTTTTTTTTTTTTTTTTTTTGAGACAGAGTTTCACTCTTGTTACCCAGGCTGGAGTGCAATGGAGTGATCTCGGCTCACCGCAACCTCCGCCTCCTGGGTTCAGGCAATTCTCCTGCCTCAGCCTCCTGAGTAGCTGAGATCACAGGCACGCGCCACCATGCCCAGCTAATTTTTTTTTGTATTTTTAGTAGAGACGGGGTTTCACCATGTTGACCAGGATGGTCTCGATCTCTTGACCTCATGATCCACCCGCCTCGGCCTCCCAAAGTGCTGGGATTACAGGCTTGAGCCACCGCGCCCAGCCAGACAAGTTCTATATCAGAAGATGTTTGGATAAGTAAAGCAAGAAGAATCTTTCCTCGTTCTAAATATTTAGAAACAGCTAAGCACAATTTTCCTAGACCTTTCAAGTTTTCTTTCCAGTGGAACCTTTCACTGTAGGTAGGTCTTTCAATTTTTTTATCTTTTTTTTTTTTTTCAAGTAGAAAACTTCCACTTCCAGGAACAAAAGAATTCTAACTCTGTTCTTTCTCTCTTCCCACAGGACCTACCATTGTCTCTTAGGGAAAATAACCTTCCCTCCTAGCAGAGACATGAATGGGAAAGGAAAAGTAAGCCCTAATTACTCCAGATGTTACTTTATGGAATTTTTATTCCAGGAGAGCTACAGAATGCAAAGTTTCTGCCTCAGAACCCCCTCCCTGTTCAATCTCTCTCTGGGTACTCATCCAGATAAAAGGCAGTTTAGAATCTAAGGCTTGCTGGCAAGAGTTCTACAAATCAAATTCTTTCTCTTTGTCTTAAAATGACTTGGAATTCTAAATGAAGACTAATACTAATAATGGGTGTGTGTGTGTGTGTGTGTGTGTGTGTGTGTGAGTTTATTCTACATAAAGCATTTTAGGGAATAGAGAGGAAGCTAAAAAAGAAAATCAAGTGGCTAACCCACTCCACCCACTTAAAATATTTTTGTTCTTGTTTGAAAGCCTCAAGTCCTCCCTTCTGGATTCTAAGTATGATCATCTTTTCTTAACACTGTTTTACAGCCATAGCAAGCTGGATGGGGGCTGTTTCTATGAACACAAAGACAGCAGTGTAGATTGTTCACTTTGGGTTCATTCAGATTTAACTAAGTGAATGTCTGCTGTGAGCCTTTAGAGACTCCTGTCTATGAAAGAATAAATGCAATAAAAGTCTGTTTTCTGAAGCTGCCGGCGCTTAGTGTCAAACCGTGTTACGCTGTACCACCCAGCAGTGACAATTCCATTTTAATACACGGGGCACATTTTAACAAGGCAAAACAGTCCCAGCAAAGATGGCAATATAGGAGCTGCCAAGGGGAAAGGCCTCAGTGTCCCTCATGCATTTTATGTGGAAGCGAAACAAAAGTAAGAAAGCTCTGGTGGGGAAAGAGACTATATTTGAATAGCCATCTTAGGAAGAATGTGCCCATTTTCTTCTCAAGTTTCACAATTAACCTCTCTGAAATGCCAGCTCAAGCTATCTGGAATCTGGCACACGCTTCAGTTAAAACTGACACTAGCATTATCAAATGGGTCTGAAAAGACAGCACGCCAGACACAGCTGCCTTTATATGTCCTTTTCAGATGGGCCACTGAATCACTATGACTGCATCTATTCTTTCTACGCAGTACCTGAAACCCCTTGCATCCTTCAGAACAGCTGAGTGCCAGGCCAACCATTCACATGACAATACATTAATTAGGTTCTTACAAGGCTCCAATCACTGTATAAAGCTTCAGGGTTTTCTGTTAGGTCTGATGTTTAAATATAAATACACATTAAAGGTCCTGTTTGACATTCTTTCTTGTCTCAGTACCTAGGAACCTGGCTTCAGTCATCTGAAACTCAGCACAGAATTGTGC